TTTCAAAACTTCATGAGGTGCAATGACATATGAGTTCACTTTTACAGGGTTGTGTTCGACCAAGTTTAACATTATACTTAAAGCTTGACAAATCTTCTCCTGAGTTTGAAGTTTGTCTTTCAGTTGTTGGTAGTCGTTTCGAATATCTGCAACAGAACTTAAGTCTCTGCTAACTTCAGGATATGTTGGTTCTTTTACAGGAACAATTGTATACCATCTTCGTCTTCGTATGGTTTCCCCACTTCAACATCTCTGTCTTTGACATTGACAACAACACTTTGACTGTTTGTTTGAGTTGGTGAATTTAACTTCACATCTGCCACCGCCATTAAACCTTTTGAAAACACTTACGCTTCTATTTTTCGGAAATGACATTTTACTTAGAATAAAAAGATGGACGTATTCGGATATCTTATTGAATTGAAGCAGAACAAAGTTTATACTCACAAACAATACAAATACATTGACAGAATAGTTCTTTACACAAACAATGGAAAATGTTATAGAATAGCATTTGCTGAACCTAATATTTTCATAAAGCAAAGAAAGTTGGTATAGCTGAAATGGTGAAAGTTCTTGAAGCAGACAAAAATATAACTTCAAAACTTACAGATATTTACTAAAGGAAAGTTATAATACAATATTATGTCAAAACTGGCGTACTGTCAATATTTGACGGAGAGAAGTCAGTTCAAGAACAACTTTACTGACCTGCTGCCAAAATCTGCTCGATGGAAGCTGTCGTTATGCCAATCTGAGGAGCCCCAGCAGGTTTCATCGAACGAATCTTCAAAAGAGCATCTTCCGTGAAAAGTGCTATTGGTTTTGTAAACTTCTTTGCTCTCAATTCATCTGGACCGTCTCTGTCACCAGTATATTGTATTTGAACTGTACCAACAGTTGAAATACCACCCATAAAGTCTTTCTGAGTCAGCAAATGGAATGCCAAGCCAAAAGTTTGAACGGTCTCCATTTGTATATTGAGTTTTTTGACCTCCTGTATGAGTCCATACTTTCACATATGGCATAATAGAACTTTGCATTTCAGGGTTAATGGTTTGTGAAGTTGTTGTTAAAGTTCATAGCATCTAATGTCAAGTTGTATGACCTCATATCCTCAACTGTAGAATATTCTTCTCTTGGATAATATTTGCCATCTATGTTTATATGATATTTAATACCGGGTTGTAGAAACAAGAATAGTCATTTATAGTTCGTCTGAACAGTACAAACATAGTATCTGCATGTTTCATTGCAGTTGTTAAAGCAATATCTGTTCTTGCACCTGCGGCTCCTGGATTTTGGTTTCCAACTTCACCTGCAAAGTCTTTGACAGATATTTGGTGTATAGGGAACATAAGTGGAACTGCAATATATTTGGCAGCTAAAGCATTTGAAATATCTGGGTCCAACATATAGACTGCAGTCTGCTTTCTATTCTCTTGCATTCAAACTGTTCGCATGTGAACTTAACTGGGTCCCAAGCATCTCCAGCAGCATTGAAATAATAGTTTACTTCAGTGTTGAGGTTTGAGAAACCAAAGTCTAAGTCAACTGTCTTTGCAAAATTCGGCGAATGACTTGGTTCCCTTTACGTCTGTAAGATGTGAATGGGTCTTGTGTTGGTGCAATGACTAAGTTATTTTTGCTTGGAGTAAGTTCGATAGAAATTTTTCCTGCCCAGTTTGGCAAGTATCTTAAAAACCAAGATGAGGAAAGATGACAAAGGAACTCTAAGTTTCAGTTTTACTTGGTTACTGCTGCTGCAGTTTGTCCAGAAAGGTCAACATAAACTCCTGGAACGTTAGGGTCAAGTCTTCTTATTTTCTCAATAGTTGCATACTGGTCTGTTTGTTCTCTAGCTTGTGGTTGTACTGAGTTTCTCAAAGCGAACCATTCATAGTTTGCCCATGTTACTGTTTGAACTAAGTCAGAGTTAGAATATATCTTATATCCATGAAAACTTCTGGAGCATATTGGTATCCGACATAGAAAATTCCATTGCAACCTTTCTTGTCAGACAACTTGGCAGAAGGTTTTATTTCAATGTCTTTTCCACGTATTAAGATGAGTTGTCAATAGAAATAATATGAAACCTGTCGCAAGCAATATCTACTGTTGTTGAAGAACCTTCTCCAAACTCACCTACGTTTCCATAAGAAACAGCAGTTGATATTCGTAAGTTCCAGGAACTATTTCTGACCTTCTAATGGCATTGTCGCATTCGTTATACCATTCGGAAACATTTCCGTTCATGGCATCCAAAACTGTTGGCGTTATATTCTGAGCGGCGTACATTTCATATGGGTAAAAATATAGAATAGTTGGATTTATGTGTCATAATAGAACCCACTCGGACCAAGCTTTACTTTCTTCCTGACTGAGTTTTTTAACTCTTCTTTTTCCTTCATTGCCACTACTTTCACTAGATGAAGTTACTTCTTCACTACTTTCACTTTGTTCTACTCTTCTCTTCTTCTTTGGTGTCGCTTTTGGTAACTTGCCCTCTGCTTCAAGTTGTTGCATCTTTGCCTCATGTTCACCTAGTATGTTGTAAATTTCCCATGTCCTTTTTGCCTTTGGGCTCTGGTCGCCCATCTCAGGTAACCTATATCCTAGAAAGATTTTGTCATAGTTTGTATTTGAGTCTTCGCTTATTGTTTGCATGACTCTTTCCTGAGTTTCCGGTTCAAGCTCTTCAAACAGAGCTTGTCCATATGGAATAAGCTCGTTTCCAAATATATGTTTTTGTAGCCATTTGGTTTTCTTTCCATGTTACCAATAATATCTTTTTGTGAATGGAAAGCTTTTACCCAAGTTTCAGTCTTGCGTCATTTATTTCTGTAGTTGGTTTTATTTTGTCAAGGAACATGTTTTTCAATACTAACATTTCATTTGGTACTGTCCATTGTTTTCTTAAATATTCATCCCTTCTCAGTTCATTGTCTGCAAAGTAAGTTTTTATGACATTTTGCAAACTTTCGTTTGCAAGGTCATGTACAATAGGTTCTCTTCCTTCTCTCTCCCTAACTTTCTTTCTAAACTCTTCACCAAATATACCATCTCTATGGTTCTGTGTAGTTCTTTGAGATAAATGTTCTAGAACGTCAGGTGTTATATTTCCTTCAGCCATGTTCATTTCATACTGGTCCAAAATATCTGCATCTTTCATATCTTTCAATGGCATTAAAGCCGCGCTGAAAATACCAGCTATATCTGGTTCACCATTCACTTCCTTGCGTCTACAACTTCTTGGAATTGAGGTTGTAAGTTTATGAACCACCTATCCGGATTAGCTTTATGACCCATCTCATGTATTAGTTCCATAGTCTGCAGAAACAAAAGTAGGTTTGTTTCCATATTGGTTAGGTTCTGAATGAACTTTAAACAATGTTTCATTTCTATATGTTTTGTTGAAATTTAACCTTTTATTTTCACCGAGTTCAGCCAAAGATTGAACGTATATATGGTCGTAAGTAAAAAGGATTATTGTATTTGCGTACATTTTCTTTCAGTACTTCCATTCTATGCTGAATATTTTCATCTGATGTTGGAGTCTTTTGTATGTCGGCGAACATTTTTCGATATTCTTCTACTATGTCAGCCGAATTTTTCTTAGACTCTTGGAAAGATTCCATTATTCTCCGCATACACTTGTTGAGGGTCAAGATTTTTCGGCTGTTCCAAATCTTCATCTAGTTCTGTGAAGTTAGTTTCCAAAGGAGGGACTTGTTCGTTTCTTCAGGCTCTTCTAGCTGTTGTTGCTGAACTATTTCTTCATGTCTGGTTGTATCTGAACTTCTTCCTTGAGTTCTTGTACCTCATCTGCTGGCTTCTATATTCGAGACCGTTTTTAAAAAGTTCCCTATCTAAGTCATCCGGACTCATAAACCTTTCTTCTTTCGTTCCGTCTCTATTTTTTACGCGTTTCATGAAGAGAGTTGAATTATCATTTAGCTCTGACACCAAATATCTCGGAGTAAATTCATTCATGTCATTTGGATGATATGCTATTAAATCATATCCCTTAGCGAGCTTGTATTTTCCAGGTTTGAGAATTATATCCCATTTGGTGCTGAACCAAAAGCTAAATAGGTTCGGGTCAGTATTTCCTTCCTTGAACTTTCTAATAGCTTCTTTATATCTGTCACTAAAGTCAAGAGTATCTGTGTAACCATAATCTTCCTTAAGCATTTTTAAGAATTCTTGGTTTCCTTTTTCTCTACTTCTTTTATGTCCTTGCTCTGTTTGTGCTGGTTGTTGTGCTGGTTGTGGAGGTGGTTGTTGTGCTGGATTTTGAATTGTTGGTTGTTGTTGTTGTGCTGGATTTTGAACTGTTGGTTGTTGTGTTGGTTTTGGTGCATGCCTGTGTCTGTGTCCATGTGACGATGTAAATGTTTTAGGTAGTCCTGGTGCAGGTGCTTCTCTTGGAGGGTTTGGTGGTATATAAGTTCCACCAGCTGGCACATATGTTCCATCTGCAGCATAATGTCCTACCTGACTTTTCGTTTTTAAGAAAGCATTTACTAGGTCTGTTTTGGTCTGTTGTAACTCTTTTTCTTGACTTTCCACAACAGTTGCTCTAACGGCGTCATAGGCACTTTGAACTGCCTGTCTCGTTGCTGCATCTGTTATTTTCGTCATATTTTGTGCTACTTCTCTTAACTCTTTGTCGAAACCTTCAGACTTCAGTTTCTTTCCAGATGAGAAGTCGTTCACTAGTTTCACCTTACTATGAAGAGCTTCGAAGGCGTTCTTAAAGTCAGCATTCATTAAAGCTTCATTTGAACTGTCTTCATCCGCTTGTATTTTTGTCCTTATTGACCCTATAAGTTGGGCTGCTTTAGCGTTGGCTTGGGCATCTAACCAGTCATTATTAGCTTTTATATATTCTGCGCTTTTCATTGCCTTTTGCATGGCTGCGTCGTTATTTTTACTTTCTTGTGCTAAGTTTTCATACTGTACGGTTTGGTTTTGCAACTGTAAAAGTTTTTCTGCCTTTACATTTGCTTCAACTTCTTTTTTATACTCATCGCTATCCATATATGTCTTCAGGGCTTTTTGTTTTATCTCTTCATCTTTCAGTACTTTATATTGAGTAGTATGGTTTTTCAAATTTATAACATCTTGTTCCATTTTTGCTACTTCTGCTGCTTTTTCTGACACTTTTTTCGCATATTCCTCTGTACTTAGTTCTTTCAGTTGTTCTTCTTTCTTCTTTTTCTCTACGTTTAACTCATTTAGTTTCTTTGTGTGTCTGTCATATTCTAGTTTCTTTTCGTTTTCACTTATTTGTTTCTGTATGTCTATGTTTGACTTTTTGACATCTGTTATTTGATTTTTGAGTGAACTCAAATTCATTTGACTTTGAGGGTTATAAGCTGTTCCGTCTGCAGCTCCACCATAGCCTGCCATTTTCGCTAAAAGTGCCGCTCTTAAACCTCCACTCTGTGCACCAATAACTCGGTTTAAAAGCATAGGGTTGCTTGACATTTGTTGCAACATAGTGGGGTCATTCATCATTTGTTGTTGCAACTGTTGTTGTGGTGTCAGTTTTACTATTGGATGTTTCAATGCTCCCTTCCTCTTACGTATATTCTTACGTAGCTTACGTGGCATTTTAAGTGAAGTAAAAAACGGTTTTTGACAGATGTTTATATGACACTTTTTGTTCAGCACAAAAAACTACTCGGTCAAAGTGTTGTCAGTTTTGTAAAATACCCGTCCTATCTCATTCTATAAGGGAGAAAAGGCTTCTCAAAGTATACTTCCTTGGAACGCCTGTAACTTTTCCTGTAGCGACGATAGACCCTTACTTGTCCGGACAAAGTTATACTATTTTGAGTGCTCTACAAAAAAGTCAACGGCGACGACTCTCAAAAACCGTTGTGTAAAAAGTTTTACCGTTGGACAAAAAAGTATATATAGAAAACAAAAAACGTTTATAGTTCATTCAATATTTGAGATAAACCGTTTTTCCAACGGTAACTATTAAATAAAATAAAAAATAGAGAGGTCTCCGTTGACGAAAACGGTTTATTTTAAACTTTTCTATGAGTGGTCCGAAAAAAACAGTTCATTTTTCATAATGGAAGGAAGAAAAAGTGTCGCAAACAATTCGTCGACTACCTCTGCAGTTAAAGTTCATACAACTTATGTCTCACCATTCTCAAAACCCTTACGACCTCCTATAATACCAAAGCAACTTCCTCATACAATTCAAGACAAATTGTCCAACAATTTGAGTTCTTCTTCTTCTCAAAACACAACAGAAACATCTGAAACAGTTGTCCAAACAGCACCAGAACAAGTTTCACATAGTTCTACAATTCAAGACAAATTGTCCAACAATTTGAGTTCTTCTTCTTCTCAAAACACAACAGAAACATCTGAAACAGATTTACAACCAATAGAACAAGATATAGTCTCTCAAACTACAAGTATGTTAACAAGAGCACAATTTCAAGATTTAATTTCTCTTGAACAATATTCGAGTAACGAAATACAAAGCGACGACTGTAACCTCTCGCTACCCGAATCCATTCAAAGAAAATACGCCATGAAAAGACTGAAATTGTTGTATAAACTTCTTAACAATTGGGGGGTCGAAGACAACTCAGATTATAGTGAAATGTTTAACAAAGTCATAGAATCTCTTAAACCAATTGAAAACGACATAAAAAATCCCGGTGTTCTTGTAGACCTTTTCGCCTCAAAATTACCAGTTACAACTAATCTAATAGCAACACAAGCTATAGAGCAATTTATTTTATGTTTTCCCAAGCAATATAGACAACACCTGAGGGAAACAAGAATAGGAAAATTTCAATTGGTGTATCCTACAACATACAACTATTACGAAGAAGCAAATGAATATGGAGAACTCTCATTCCATTTCACACTTTCAGTTCCTGAGGGAGAAGAAAAAGCAATCTATCATGTACAATCTCTTGCAGGATGTGAAGGAAAACCTCACATAATAACTACTGTTGCAATTGACAAACCTGCAAGAGTCGAAGACGATGTTTTGTTCGCGTCCATTGCTGGTTTTGGCATGGGAGAACCAATTCCAATTTCCCATTTCACAGAATACTCAGCACAGCATTTTCAAAATGTAGATTTCGTGTTCTACGACCATCAAAAGTTCCTGCTAACAAAACCAAAGAAACAATTTGTCTCAATATTTGTTGCTGGTCATGTGGCTGACAAAGAGCCATCAGATACTGACTATGAAGAAGAGGAGGAGGAAGAAGAAAACGATAGCGATGTCGTTCTTATCGAATAAAAACTTTAATTTTTTACTATATAATTTTTTTAGTTCTCCTCTAGGTTTTCTTATGGGCTAGAGGGCACGAAGTGCCTGGAAGCCCCACTTACCTGACCTTATCAGCGAGAAACTTATATGCACGTTTAACTTTATCAGATTTCAAATGAAAACATGGATTTCATTGCATGTTTTTCAATACTAGCTCCAGAAAAATGATATAAAGATGAATAAATAGTAATGTCCCTAAAATAAGGTACAAAACAAAAAATTATCAAGAATATACTTAATTTCGGCTATTATGATAAAAAGTGAATATGTCAAAAACATTTATTCCATCATCTTGTTATCTGTACCTTACCACGGACTAATATGAAGAGAGATCAATTTCCACAATTTTACCAAAAAGAGATTAGGCCTAATTTTTATGGCCAATCTTTATGATTTGTTATACAGATACTAGATCTACTACTCCCCAAAACAATTCATTTTTTGAATGGCCCCCTTTTTTAGGCCTTCATTTTATGAAAAATGCCAATATTATACGATTATTAATATATTTATTTTTTTGTTCTCAATAAAGATATTCAAAAGTCAATATAAACCATTCAAAATTGAGAGGAAACTCATTGAGAGGCTCGAAATTCGAGTAGTGAGGAAGGGTAAATTTTGAGAGCCAAAATTTCAAATCCACTCAATATTTCAAAGCCCTTCTACTTAGATTTTGTGACTACCTTAATTCTATTCATTCAATTCGATCGTCATTTTTCAGTACATGATCGTAATTTTCAATTATTGATCGCAATTTTACTTCAGAATTTGTTCGCAATATTGCTTATCAAAATTATATCTCTATTCTCTCATTTCTGTTTAGTCAATATCATTACACTCCTATTGTCTAATAACATGCTATTAATTTTCTTAAAATTAAAAAAAATATCAACTTTTAAAAACAGAAACTTAACATCCTTAGGTCAATGGATTTTGATGTGAGATACATTTAATCTGTTTTTCTTTTTTTATTTTAAATAATTGAATATTTATAGTTATTATGGGTCTTACATCATGTAAAAAGAATTTTCTTAAAGTAAATTTACTTTTTCTTCAATCTTTCTTACATATTTATTAAAAAAAATTATCCAAAAAAAGATGTTTTAGAATGAAAAAAATAGAAAAATCTATGGCATTCCAAACGGGAATCGCGGTTGGTTACCATGGATTTCCGTCACCGGTCACATTTTAAAGATTTTTTAAGCCTTATAAAAATATGCTTTGTAAATCATTTTTTGTAAATCGGCAAAAATTTGGTAATTTTCTTCAACTAATAAATCTGCGAATAGCATTTATAATACAAGAACAATCTTTTAAAATGCGTTTGATTCATTTTTGTATAATTTCATATAGGCACATATATTCTTCCGGGACTTTCCGTGATTTTACCGTAAAATCATTAGTTTACACAATTTTTCCGTATTTTGAATAGTTTACTGCACTTTTTCCGTAAAATTGAGTTACGGAAATCCGCAAAATTTCCGGACCTCATTTTTCATAGAATATAATAATATTTGATAAAAAGATATATTATTTATATTTTTGATTTTTGAATTACGGAAAAAGTGAATTGATAACTTGATTTTTTTATATGGTTAATTTTTCAAATGATATTATGAAGATCTAAAATATTAAAAGTAAAAAATTGAATTACGGAAAAAGTGAGGTCAAAAGTGAAATAAATTTGCAGAACAATTTTCATTGAAATAAGCTTTATTTTTCATTATTAATAACAATGCAAAAAATATTTATTACGGGTTCAAAATTTAAAATTAAATATTTTAATAATTTACATCTTATTCTTTATTTTATATTTAACCCGTGAAAATATCATTTAAAAATTGAATATATTCAAAAAGCTTTATTTTTATTATGACTGCATGGGATCCTCATGTATATGATGAGTGGATTCCATTTAAGAAGACGAAATATCCACCAACTCCTGAAACATTGGAAACAAAGTGTGGAAAAAATGTTTCACTACGATCGGCTATTATGAGAATGAGCCTAATCAATCAGACAAAGGAAGGCTCTTTACATACTGTGCCGAATGTAGTGAAACATTAGTTCAAGGGCAGTTCGTGCGATGCATTAAAAAAAGCAGGAAAAATGATTTTAAAGATCATAAGTGCAAATTTTTACTCCCAATGCCCAACTACGTTCCTGCTGAGCACCAAGTTGAGAATACTCAGCAAGCAGTTGGCTCTGGTAATGATCCTTCGTTAGAAGAGATCATTGCCAGGCTTATTGCGAGCCTAGATATAAGCCTTTATGCCACAATGAAGCCAGCATTTAAAAGCTTCCTAGAGAGCTTCGCCAAATGGCTTAAAAATAAAGTCAATCGCGAACAGGGCATCAACTTTACAATCCCAGACATTGAGTTCACACGGCGCGGTGTCAGAGAGGCATTGATTACTTTAGGCAAAACAGACTCCTCTCGGGGCCTAAAGTTCTGCGAGGAATTCCGCATCTTCTCAATTTCCCTGGACTGCGGAACACACGGCAGCCGTCATGGTCTATTCTCTTGTGTGTGCAATCCAGGCAAAACAGATCGCCACCAATTCTTCGACACAACAATTTCGACTAATTGGACATACGAGGACTACCATACGTGGTTTGATTCTCTTAAGGTTAATAAAAACCACGTAGCTGGAGTAGTCGGAGATGGTTTGCCAGCCCAGGTTAAAGGACTCTGCCACTGGAGGCCAGAAGGAGCCCTTTTCCCTGGCTTACAAACCGTGTACATTCGTTGCCTTAACCACGTCTTGAACAATGCTATTGTCCACGCACGTAAGCAATGTCCATTGTTGAATGAACTGATGAATAGAGTTCACCAGATTATCATTATCTTTAAGAATCACGATATGAGAGCGAGATACAAGATCAGGGTTCCATCAATCCCGGAAACTCGCTGGCTCTACATATATGATACTCTGTTTTTCATCTTTGATAATCTGGAAACAATTAATACTGCTTTAAGAAGTGGAGATCTTCCACTATCCCTTTCCAGAGCTACACGTGAACAGTTACAATGGACACGTGATGGAATTCCTCCACTCTTTAAAGATGCTTTAATGATATTCAAGCCATTAAAGCAACTTCAATTATGGCTGGAATCCAACAAGTCCATGGGTGCTTATGCATTCCTGATGATACAACAGTGCCAAGGGATGTTGGATGAAATGGCAGGAAGATTAACGCCAGATGGTGAAGAGATTCTCCGATCAATCACTACAATATTCAAAAATGATATGAAAGAATATGGTAGAATTGATTTGCTTCGGTTTGCTTTCGGCTTTACACCGTTAGCAAGGAAGATCATCAGAGACAAGAAGGGTTTTGGAGGAAAGACAAGCTATCCACCTATAATGCAGTTGAAAGATGTGCAAGTCCCAACGATTCCTTCCCTGAGGATCATCAATCGCGAGATCACATTTGAGAAACTCGGCGAAATCCTTGAAGAAGAACGAACAGAACGTGTTGACGAGGTAGCCGAGCATGATGAAGAGATCCAGCAAGCAGAAGAGGAACAAATGCTTAACGACGATCATGCAGCCGAAACAAATGCCGATGGTTCGAGGAATTCCTTGGTCTGGGATGTTGTAGATGAAGAGATAAAAGATCTATACACATTCATGATAACAATCCTCAGACAAAGAGCAATTGCCGAATCAACAGTTGATCCAACGATCAATAAAGACGATAGAGCCAAGGAATTGAGTGATGCTTACGATTTCTTCATAGAGCAAGATGATTCCCATCTTATAAATGGTCATCATCTTGCTCAAAATGATGGCAAGTTTTGGTACATGAATGGCATAAAGCAACTAAAAGCAATAAGACCAATTGGAAAAAGGATGATGTCACTTTCGTGCAGTGAAGCAGATGTAGAACGTGTAATATCTGAATTGCGAAAGACAAGAAATTCAATGAACGAATCATGCAAAGAAGAATATGTAGCATGCCGCTTCTTCATCAAGTTGAATGATGATCAATTTGATATTTGATTTTGTTTTTTAATAAAATTTATTAAATAATTTGTTTTAAAAAGTATTATTTTTATTCGTAAAGATATTAGACAGAAGGTGGCCAGCCTAATGTCTATCAATCTTTAATATTAGTAGTAATTTCCCGCATTTCTGAATGATGATTGATTAGCTTTGTTGTTATTGATGTAAAACTGGATAAGTATTAAATAATTATATTAATCTTGGCCAGGGGACTGCTGATGGCCAGTCAGCAGCGGCCACTATGAATCATTATAATTATTTAATACCTAAATTGAGGTAAAAAGCAATAAGACTTGCCGAGCCTCATGCCCCTACCTCATATAAATAGAATCACACTTTAGTGAATCAACATCTATAAGAATGAAGTGTTTTGAAGCTGAAATAATATTGAATAGAAATTAATTTTTTCTGAAATTTTGAATGAAATTATGGGAAATAAAAAATTACTAAATATTGTATTCATACAAATATATTATTTTAAAGGAAAAATAGATGCTGATAGAAACGATGAAAATTTTTGAAAACTTTACAATTAATTTATGTTCGTTAACCACAGAGCTTGCAATCCAAAGCTCACGTTAGACAACAAGAGTCATGAAGTCTCATACTAAGGGATATCCAACATATATTTTAATAATCTAATGTTTGTGACAAATATTCAACATAAAATTAAGTTTTCGTTTCGTTACAAGGCATTCATACTTTGGAGAAATATTTAATGTACAGAAAAGTTAATATTAAACAATACATGCTAAAGAATTAATAAATAAGATAATAAAATAAATTTATACGTAATTACTTTCATTTAATATGCTTTATACTGTATAATATTGATTAAGAGGCATTAAAAGGTTCCATAGTCTGCTTTTATAGGCAAGATTTTTGATAAAAATTTTAAATTTTGAAAAATGATGAGAAAAGGAAAAAAAGGTAAATGAGAGCAAGAGGAGGGAAAAAAAGAAAAAGAAAAGAAAGGGAAGGGAAAAATAAAAGAAAGAAGGACATATAAAAATTTAGATGCGCATTCTTAATGCCGAGGCGGCTTGCCGCCGAGGCGCGATTTTTTTAGGCCTCTACGGTAACCCGGCAATGTTTTTTTAAATCTTGTACAGCCCTACAAAATAGATACAGTATAGCATTAATTTCGAATTTTTGTAAAACTGTAGATCACATATTTTTTTTCTTGGGAAACTGCAGTTTATTCATGGAGTAAAGTATAAATCAGGTGACCATAAGTAAACCACTCTCATTAACCAATATCTTCATGCCGACTAACTCTTCAAAACCATAATTTTTCTTATATTCGTAAAAATATTATTGAAAACATATGATCAGAGCATTGGCATAACTACTGTCTATCATTACTTAACTATCCGCTCATTGAATCTAACATTTTAGGTAAAAATAATCTCTTTTCCTATTTAAATGTGTCAAAAAACACTTGTCATTATGTCCAAATCATATTATAACTCTAACTTTTATTCTATGTAATAAGAAGCATTAAGAATAGACTGAAATCAGATCGATAACAGATAAAATTATCCGAAATATGAAAATCTATAAAGAAAGATTCAAGATATGGAATATTCACGAAGATGTAATCATTTTTATTTGAGTCTATAGTGACACTCTTCGTAGTCAAGTTAGAAAATTTATTCGAAATATCGCTAATAATTGTACAATATTCCATATGAATTGTTTCATTATTCATTTTTTCATATGTACCTATTAAATATTGATATCCTTTTATCCTGAAAAAACATTTGCTAAATGTTGATGCAGAACCGAATCCGATAACAATAAAATGCGTTCCAGTAGCTTCAATATCAATGTAATTTGAATAGCTAATATCACATTTTCCTTTGTATAATTCAACTGATGCACCACCAGTATCATTACCGCATTTATAGTAATTTACATATTTCTGTACGTATTTTTGGGATAAAATAGTTCCAGTACAGCTTTGAAAATAGCTTTTTGTTTCAGAAAAATTTGACATTGTTGAAATACATTCATATAATATTGATGAAAAGAGAATGGTATGCTGTGTTGTATTACATGCACAACTAGACTCAATAGTTGCACTCTTTGCTGAGTAAAAAATTGAATGTTTGTTCAAATTGTTTGACATATATGCACAACCTTTGATAATGCCATTCTGAAAAAGAAACAATCCACCATATTTGCTGATACAATATGCAAATGTACAGATTTGTAATTGAATTAAATTTTCATAATTATAATGGATTGTGTAATTTTGATTATTATTTAAAAGAATATTTGAGAAGATTGACCCAATAACTAGGGAGTTTGTTGATGATGCTGAAAAATTTAATGGATTTGTTTGAAAATTGATTCTCAAAGCAGATTATTTAAATTTTCTAATTACCGTTTATAATTTTAACAAAATCGGAATAGCTTTTGTCGATGCTTAATTTGAAAAATAATTAAATTCATTATGAAATGATTCAAAGTCTGTCTTTTCTCCGACAAAACATTTTGATTCTTCGCGCACAAAATAACTTCGAAATGAATTGCTATTATATGGAAATGTAATTATCGAAAATGAAGGAATTTGTATATATGCACGTGTTATACAAGGAGTGTTTTAATATAGGATTTGAATTTATTTCTGATTTAATCACCAGATAATTACAATCAAAGTGTTTAAATAAGAATGAATAAATATCGTTCAATGACGGATAAAAGTGGATTTTATTAGTTATGAGAATTTAAATTAGGCTAAAAATGTGATTCCGGTATCGTTCAGCGGTTAGGACGTGTGGTTTTCATCCACAAGATCGGGGTTCAACTCCCCGTACCGGAACTTTTTTTCTTTTTCGAAAAATTCTGATTTCATATTAAATTTTATCCAGGAGACTCACTTGTCAAAACAAGAAAAAGTAAGAAATAACTCAATGTGTTTTGATAACAATGATAAAGAATTGTTTCGTCGAAATCTATAATATCAGTTTCAAGATATGGAATATTAGCAAATGTATAATCAATCTTAGATGGGGAAATAATAACATTCTTAGTTCTTAAATATGGCACATTATACTGAATTTTACCAATAATAGTACAATCTTCAAAATAAACCGTTTCATTTGATTTTGGATTAAACGTATCCAAAAACGAAACAAAACTTTTTATTCGAAAAAAGCATCTCTTAAAAATAGTTTCGGATCCATATCCAACAAGAATAAAGGCATAATCATCTCCTGATTCAATATCAATATAATTTGAATAACTGACCTCACTTTTTCCTAAATCTATAGAAATCGATGCACCGCCAGTATCATTTCCACATTTATAAAAGTTGACATATTTTTGTTCATGGAAATATACTTTATTGGAGGAAATACATCCTTGATAATTACTTTTTGTGTCAGAAAAATTGGAATGAAACATTTGAAGACTATTACCTTCTGATCGATAAAAAAGTGTATGCTGAGTATTATTCATTGCATTACCATACAAAAATATAGCAGTGTTGGAAGATTTGAATATTGTATCACGGTACGCGTAATTACTATTATAAGTACAGCATTTTATGATTCCGTTGTTCATGTTGATGAGTCTGGAATTTGTGCTTCTACAATATACGAATGAACAAATAAAAATTCGAAGTATATCTGGACCAAAATAATCAATTGTTGCCGTTTCTTCTTCATTTCTCATGATATTTGAGAACACTGAACCTACTACACGTGATTCTAATGAAAAAGAAGAAAAATTTAAACTTTTTAATATATATTTGTTCTTCAGATATTTAAAAAATAAAAAGTGATAAAAGCACGTTAAAGGGTATTTAAATTCTCATTATGGGAGCACAACTGACGTGGATCAATATTGAAAATAAACCTTATACAGAATTGAATATCCTTTATTTAGGTACCAAAACATGCTTGTAAAATCTCTTTTTTAGGCGACAATGATAATTTTGTCACTTTTCCAGACGACAATAAAACATCCTGAATGATTTCAATAGAATCGCTTCTATATAATCAAAACAAATAAGAAAAAGCTGAGGTTGAAAAATTTACAATGATAAAAAACACTTATTTCAAAGTTAATGATATCGGTTGTGAGAAAAGGAATATTGACAAATGTATAATCAGATTTTGTGGAATCAAAAATGACATTTTTAGTACTCAAATATGGCATATCATGTGTAACATCACCAATAATATTACAATCTTCTAAATATACGCGTTCGGTATTTTTTTCTCCATATAATCCTAGAAATGATTTAAATCCTTTGATTTCGAATAAACAACTTTTGATTAAAGTTTCTGATCCTGAACCAACATACATAAAAATATTACCAGTTGATTCAATATCAATAAAATTTGAATAACTAATATCGCCTTTACCGATATAAACCGTGAGTGAAGCACCTCCCCAATCTTTACCACATTTATAAAAATTTACATATTTTTGAATAAAATTCAAAGTACTACTTGAAGAGAGACAACCTTGAAATTCAGAATTTGTGTGAGAAAAATTTGATTGTAATGACTCCAAACTCTTCCCAAATCCTCTATATGTGATAGTATTCTGGGAATTATTAATTGCACAGCTATATGAAATTAATGCTGAAGAAGAGGAAAGAAATAAAGTTGATAGGTGTCCAATATTATTATTAAAATTACAAAAGCTAATAATTCCGTTTTTCATATTGATTAAACGTGAATTAATACTTCGGCATGAAATAAATGAACAAATATTGATATCGAGTAATTCTTGGTTTGGATGATTAATTGTATACTCGTTTTCATCATTTGTCAGGATATTTGAAAATATTGAACCAACTATTTGTGTATCTAATGAAGATGATGAGAAGTTTATATTTTTTAATACAAATTTGTTTCGCAGAAATAATATTGAAAAGTGACATTGAAAGGTTATTTAATCTTTTTATAAAGTTTAAGCGTATCATAATAGATTTTGATTTTAAATACTATATCGATTTATATATCCTTAACATTTGCATG